TTAACTCAATCCATTACATTACAGAATATTCTATCAAATACATTAGAATGAGAGAAAAAAAAAAGGAACAAAGAAACGTTTTTTAAAATTCCACCCCCAGAAAAAATTCCAGCGGAAGAGAATTTAAAAGTCTGTATTACATAAAATAGAATGATGTAAACACGCTGAAAGCTTTTCCGAAGATATGCGTTGCATAAGAAATGCTTTTATAAAATGTTCCTTTCAGCTGCGCAACTCTTTTTCTTCCATTTTTAAATGAGCCTATCACGCAAAACATGAATAATAGATTCGATTTTTCGAATTAAATTAGAATCGCAAGATTATACAAAAATTACAATGCTTTTTTTATTTCGATTCTGAAGTACTATTTTTTTTAACAAAAATGTTTTTATTTTAAATATACTGAAGAGAACAGAATACAGCAAACAGAATATCGTTTTCTGGAATATCTTTTTTAAAATTCTCATTTATTATTATTTCATTTTAATTGTTGTTTTCTAGAATGTCTTTGTATGTTTATCATTTCCTAGAACGCCTTTTTTAAAATTCTAATTTATTGTTATTCTATTTTGGATATCGTTTTTTAAAATATCTTTTTTTAAAATTCTTATTTATTATTATTCTATTTTGGATATGAGTTTTTCTAGAATGTCTTTTAATGTGTATCGTTTTCTAGGATATCTTTTTTTTAAAAAAATTCTTATTTATTTTCTATGTAGGATACTGTTTTCTGGAATGTCTTTCTATGTCTATCGTTTTCTAGAATATCTTTTTTTTTAAATTTTTAAAATTTATAATCGTTCTATTTTGGATATCGTTTGCTAGAATGCCTTTTTATATATATATATATATATCCATCCTTTTCTAGGATATCTTTTTTAAAATTCTTATTTATTATTATTCTATTTTGGATATTATTTTCAAGAATATCCTTTTTAAAACTCTAATTTATTGTTATTCTTTTTTAAATTTCGTTTTCCAGAATATCATTCTACGTCTATTGTTTTCTAGAATGTCAAGAATTAAATTTGTCATTATATATTTCTTATACACTCTCTTCTTTCTTAACATTTCCTTCAAAACGATCTGTTCTTTTTTCTTAATTGAAAAATTAATTTTGTTTATCATTAGTTTTAATTGGAAATAATGTGTGTATGGAAATAAAAACTAAGACCTTTCATAACATTTTGCATAATCCTGTATTATTTTATACAACAGAAATAAATTAATACATCGTAATCTAGCGCAAAGTAGAAATAAATAACAAAGACGAAAGGATTCTCATAAACCGATACGACAGTCTTTTTCCTCTACGTCTCAGATAAGAGAATTCTTTCATTAACTATTACTTTCACGTTTTTACATATTCACCTAATAATCCTTTGTCTTTTTGCATCTGAATGTTGCTGCTTTCTTTTTCTTTCTTTTCTTTTTACCTTCTTTCCCTCCTTCTGACTTGTTCATCAATTCATTGTACGTGTCAGCAATAAACGAAGTGTAAGGTTCGTCAAGAAATATGTTCTGTTACTGAATCTTTCGGACAACTTTGTTTGACCTTGACAGGTAGACTGTTTATTCGAGAAAAGTCAGTTTTTAGAATTAATTGCTCTTGCTCCATAAGCGTTGCTTCGATGAATGAGATCATGATGTGTTTTTCAATGAATTATTTTAATGACATTGATTCTATTTTTTTAAAATGTTATTATGGAAAACTTTTGTATGCCTCTATTTTGTTTAAATAATAGGGGTTTTTTTTGCTTGTTATACACTGGGAAAGTTTGCTGAAATTTTTTTTTTATATTTAATGTCAGCTGAATTAGAACATACATATAAAATCGTTTTTAGAATATTAATACAAGAAAAATTCTTTTATTGCAATTTTTTGTTACGAAATGTCGGATGAATGACAAGTTTTTAAAATACAGTTAAACCTCCATATAACGAACCTCTATACTGCGAATTTTTCTGTGTAACGAACTTTTTTCTGGAACCAAGAACATTTCACAATTTTCTTCATAAAATAACCTCCCTATAGCGAAGTGCATTTTCTATACAACGAACTTTTTTCTTGTGATTCAATTTTTTCTCCCTATTTTTTAAGTATTTCTAGACATTTCAAGTTATTCTCTCCTAAGATATTTTATGGTGGTCTTAAATCTAGAACTAGTCATAAATCTTGCACTTTGGTGCCTCACTCGCGAAAATTATAGAATTCTGGTGGTTTCATCCGTGCAACATTTAACCCCCATTGCCCATTTCACTAGAAACATCTTCTATATTCCCTTTCACCCTCAGTGGAGTTGTCTAATGTCCCCGTGTACTTGAAAGTCAAACATCAATTTCTAGTTAGAAAATAATGTATGTTTTAAATTAGAAAATGTCCTTAAAACTCATTAATTTTAACAAAACTTTTTTCTAAATGTTAAAAATACAGTGCATTCCTCGATATTCCTTTTTCTTGTTTTCCTTGAAGTTTTTCCTTTCTTTTTTTCTTTTTTGATGAGTAAGATATATAAAATAAATAGATATTAATTTACAAACAATTGTGAATAATTACCTTTTTTT